GTTCATTTATAAAAAAATTGGGGACACCAGAAGATAGCTCTTTCAAAACCATTCAACTTTTGTTCCAAGCATTTTTTAATATTATGAAGAATAAACGAGATATTGACCGAAAAAGATTAATATCGAAATTCCTTGATGGAAGAAAAATTTTTGTCCAAAAATTCGATTTTGTATTAGGAGAACATGATATGATAGGAGGTCGATCGAAGAATTTTTCCAAGAAATGACGTCAAATTCTCGGAATCTCTAAATTTCTTGGAAATGACGTCAAATTTTTGGAAATTTCTAAATGTGCGTACGAACGAATCTTTTGGCCAAAAATTCGATTTTGTATTAGGAGAACATGATATGATAGGAGGTCGATCGAAGAATTTTTCCAAGAAATGACGTCAAATTCTCGGAATCTCTAAATTTCTTGGAAATGACGTCAAATTTTTGGAAATTTCTAAATATGCGTACGAATGAATCTTTTGGCCAAAAATTCGATTTTGTATTAGGAGAACATGATAGGATAGGAGGTCGATCGAAGAATTTTTCCAAGAAATGACATCAAATTCTTGGAAATTTTCAAATGAATGAATGAAACTTTTAACCAGAAATTCGATTTTGCATTAAGGGAACACTTACTAAAGGAGTTTTTTTACAATTATCATATACGTACCGTATTTTTTGACCATTTTTCTTAACATTGCTATTTCTTTTACACTTTTAAAGCCTTTTTTTTCACAATTTAAATAAATTTAGATAAAAGCTGTCATTTTTACTCCGTAAATCATTATCATTTTTTTTAATTTTTTAAGAATTCAAGATTCCACTGAGCACTGTATTTTTATTATTTGAAATATCTTGATTGTTTTTAATAACCCATACGTAATATATTATATGATATATCATGGTATGTAATATTATATGATATATCACGCTTGTTGTTGGAAATATTAAAAAATGTTTCAAATAAAAGTTAAAGGGTTTCGAGGGGGCTACATTATGCTGTTATTTATTTTTTTATATATAGAAGCATAAAGGATTTATTAAAGAGAATATTATTTCTTTAAATGGAAGTATACACTTTTTAATACACCAACTGATGTATCCTGACATTCTTTATAAAAAAGTATTAAGACATATATAGCAAAAAGCTGATAGTTTAAAAAATAATTAAATTTAATTAAATATCTTTTAAACTAATGATTTTTCACCATAAATGNTCCATACATTTTTATAGAGAATGTCAAAATGCATCGATTAGTGCATTAAAAAGTATATAATGCTATTTAAAAGAACAAAGTTGGACTCGATAAGTTTT